TTCATAAAGACTGTCTACTGAGATGTGGAGAGGGCCATTAGCTACACCAATGATATCACAGATCTTCTGGAATTTTGAAGTAATGCTTTAATGAGATGATTTGTTCTGGCATGTCCTATTGCTATCAACTATAGAGGGCAATGTGTTTTGCTATTAACAGAGATGTGACCAAGAATTCTGATTTGCTGGCAACTTCAATTTAGTGAAAAGTAGGGTAGAAGGAAGGGAGAAGGTAGGAAACAAAGGACAGTCCATTCTAATCAGGGTGCAGTTATGCTGAGAGAAGTTGCTGTCCATTCTCAAGCAAATTTATCTGAAGTTTCTGGGGTCCCTGGACCCTACAAGTTTTCATTCATCATCCATGTCACATTCCCTAACTGTGGCTGCACTCTAAGGTTCTCTCATCTCTTCTCTTTTCCTCTCCTCTCTTTTTCATTCTTCCCTTCTCTTCCCCTATCCTCTCCTTCTGTTTCCCAGCCATCCTCTCTTCTCTCCTTCCCTTCCCTTCCTCTCCTCTTCTAGCTACTACCTCTGGGAAATCTCATTAGCTCCCATGGGTTCAATGATCATTTCTATGCAGATGACTCCTAGATCTATATTCCCGGTCCTTGTTTATCTCCTGAAATCCAGTACTACATTACCAGCTGTCTATTATACATTTCAAACTACATGTCTGTAGGCATCTTAAACTCACTATGTCTGAAATAGAAATCATTATCTCCCTCTCCTCCATCCCAAACCCACTCCCATTCTGAACTTCCCTATTTCTGTTGAGGGCATTACAAGCCTTAAAGTCAGCCAGATTTGTAACATGCACATCATCTTCAACTCCTGACTCTTCCTCATCCAACATATTCAATCATTTGCCAAAACATGTCATTTCTACCTACACAACATCTCTTGCATCTGGTCTCTTCTCTCCCCTTACAGTACCATCATCTGAGTTCAGTTCCTTATCACCTCTTGCTTAGTTTATTTTAGTAGTCTTCTAATTGATTTTACTTTGTCAAACTTCTTCCCATTTTAATTTATCACTCAGCTGCCAAAATGATTTCCTTACACAGGTTTGACCACATCATTCTCCTATTCAACAAGGTCGAGTGGCTCCTATAACCTCAAGGATCAAATATAAACTCTTGTTCAGCATTTAAAGCTCTCCACAACCTGGTCTCTTTCTGCCTTTCTAGTTTCCTCACACATTACAACCCTCTGTGCAATCTGTGATCCAACCATCCTGGCTTTCTTCCTATTTCCCATCCATGATATCCCATGGCATCAAGAAGGTAGAAGAGAGAAGAAAGTACTCAGGAAGGAGTTTAGTCTCTGCATGGTATTCTCTAGTTGGGTTAGTAATCGACAGGTTTATTAGGTATATTACCTTCAGTCTTCTACTAGATAAAACTCCAAGGCCATACAAAATTATTTCAGTATTTTTTACACATATTATCTCTGTTATCCTTATCTCTTCTCCTAAGAAAGTATTTGTCAAATGCTAATTTGTCTGCTGGTTTTCCAGGTTAGCCATACAAGGGAAAAAATACATAAATGTGTGTGTGTGTGTGTGTGTGTGTGTGTGTTTATGTATGTATGTATTTTTTTTTTTTTGCCACAGCTAGAAGTGGCAGGTGAGTGAAGCGAGCATTCTTTATTATTGGTCTACAGAATATGTGAACAACCATTGATTCTAAGCATGAAGCCATGTGTTCCAGAGCTCCTGTGACTCCATAGAGCTATTAGCGTCATCACCTTGAATGTCAAGATATGCATCTAAACGGCAAATCTGATGAGCCAGTGGTTTCATTACCTCGTAATCTTGATCTGAAAATTAAGCAGACTAAAGACTTCAGTTTCCTCATTCTCTAAACTGGTTGGTCTGGATTATCCTTAAGATCCTTTTCAACTAACATTCTACGGGAAGTAAATACAATAGATCCTTGCTCAAGGACTAAATATGACCCCTACATCATCATTTACATTGTAGTTTGAGGTTATTGCTTCAGGAAGTTTCACCTGCTGAGTATTAGTCATTCTCCAACCCAACCCTTCCATTCAATGCACATTAGTATTTACTGTAGTTTCATATTTCAAATGCATTTGTTTGCATCTATTTTTAAGACTATAAATCCCTTGAGGGCAAACATGGATTCATTCTTTATTATGTACCCGTAGTGCCTGTTATGAGACTATGTAACTGTGGGCACCCAATACTTATTTATTGACTGACAAACTGAAGAACTCAGAATCTGTCCTAGCACAAAATATGATCTTTATCCTTAAAAAGTTTGTAATCTAGACCTGCTAGAGTGAACCAGCAGGTCATAAATTTGTTTTCTGTAAGATTGTTGGCTTCATTTAGGCATTTCACTACTATTTTTGTCCTTCTCGGTTATTCCCACCAACTGTCAACCAACTGTCCCAAAGCTGACCTGGCTGAAGCAGCAAGACACCCTAAGAGAGGGGCAGCTTGGTGGCCCAGTGGATAGAGCACCAGCCCTGGATTCAGGAGGACCTGAGTTCAAATCTGGCCTCAGACAAATAACACTTATTAGCTATGTGACCCTGGGCAAGTCACTTTAACCCCATTGCCCAACCAAAAACAAAAACAAAACAACAAAACAACAAAAAAAAGATACCCCAAGAGAGTTACATGAGGCAGTATGTACCATCAAGTCAAACCAGCACCATTACCTCAACTACTATCTCTTCTAAGACACTGATGGGGTCAAGACCTTGAGCCCAAGAGCTTTGGAAATAGCATTGCCCCCCTAAACTACTAGATTTGCTTTCAGCCCAGCTCCCAGAGCCATTGTTGAAAGGAGAAATCATTGTGGAGAAGGAGCCCACCTTCTGCACCACCACCAGCAACAACTACTGACCAACTGCTACCTACAGGTAGATAGGCTGAGGAGCCCTGGGAGTGGCAACCTCTATACCC